TAATATTATTCAGATCAGATAGAGATCAGAGTTAATTATTCAATTATCTATATTCAAAATTTGAATTTAAAAATATAAATATAAATTCAAATTCGATTTAAGCATGATCTACTTACGTGCCAAAAGTTTTGCTGCATGAACTTGCATGTTGCTCGTCAAAGAGGGCTCCTGGCGGCTTTCATTATTTTTTTTTGGGTACATTTGGAAGGAAAGTGCTGGTGGCTGTGTTTTTTTTTTTTTTTTTAATTTTGGAAAGTGCCGGCGGCTTTCAAGTGTAAGAAGCTCTGCCTTGTAATGTTAGGTTACCAAACTCCGCTGTTAATTCTAAACATCATCACACACACACGAAATCGATACAAATTAAATAGGTTTTGATGTAGAAGTGAATTTTTGATGATAAATAATTAGACTCATTATAACTACTTAATAAACAGGTTAACATGAAAACATGGTATCTTCGTTGTATTATAAATCTTATTGAATACCATGAATGGTAGTTGATGACAAGTTAAAATATTAGGTTTGCATATTGCCAAATGNGTTAACATGAAAACATGGTATCTTCGTTGTATTATAAATCTTATTGAATACCATGAATGGTAGTTGATGACAAGTTAAAATATTAGGTTTGAATATTGCCAAACAAACTCGGTAAATAATCCTACTGTTTTTATGAGTGATGTAATGTTAATTGCACTTAAAAAATTGACTGATTTATTGATTTGATGATATGGTAATTACGCACATGCCATTAATAACCTTCAGCCACATACTATAACTTCAGGACTTTTACTTATTATTGTCATTTGTAAACAAGGAAAAAAATTCAGAGATAAAATGCATTAAAAAGTATATCCAACAGAGGGTTGGCAAGACAAACAATAAATAAAATTACAATCCTTCTTTAAAAAAAAAAGAGAGAAGAACAACACCAATGCAACAATTGCTTGTCCTAGTTTAAGCCTGGTATGAGCATGGTGATTTTAGTTGTCTAAGCTTCCTTTCATCTGAGAGCAATTTCGCAAACCTGCAAGAGACAGGAAGAGACTGATTAATAATACATTAACAAATTTTGAGAACAACTGGGGCATCCGATATCATTCCAAAAGTTGTGACTCTATAAAGATAAGTTATAATCTAATGAGGGTCTAGTCACCATTTAAAAAAGTTGATATAAATCTTAAAATGTTAAGATCGATCATTGAAATTTTGTTGGATTAAATCAAAACTTGCGGTGTGAATTCAAAAATTAACCCTTCAATACCATCCATCGTCCACTTTCTCTCCATTTTTTGGCATCCAAACCAAATCGAATGACAAAAAAATTGATTGGTTGTCTCCATACCTTTTCAGAGCATCTTTATTTGTGCCACCATTTTTGACTGGTTCAGAAAGACCAATTTTCAAGTTTACCCTCGAAATTGGCTTCTTCAACAACGTCTCTCCAATCTCCACAAGTCTGTTCAAGTTCTCCTCTGTAGCAACATCAACGGAGGAGTCTGTCCCAATTAAGGAGTCCTCCTGGCATTACATTCAATAGATCATCAGTGTCATATAAAAA